GAGGCCGACAGTTTTTCTATATAGTGTTCTGACTGACATATATGGATTGTTTAGTATTCTGAAACAGTCCTTCCTTATTCCCTTGATCTTTTCTTTGGGAAAGGCAGGGATATTGACTTTAAATTTACTTAGGACCCAGAAATTCTAGTTCCTGACTGGGTTCTGTCAATGACTTGGTTTGATTTATTATCAACCCTAGATTGTCAGTAAATCGACCGACAACTATGTATGTTCACGGCACACGTTTGTGGACTTTGCCATTAACAGGATATCCTCTAGGTCGATTACCAGTCGTTCCTCAACTGGGCTATCATGTACCGGTTTGAGAATTTTTGTAAATGTCCAAGGGGCACTCGCCAATCCGAAGGGAAGACACGCAAACTGCCAAAGAGTGCCTCTCCAAAAAAACTAAAGTATTTTTTTGTGTTTGTACCTAATTGGGACAGTAAAACAGTCGCCTTTTCAGTCTATTTTTGTCATAAAATCTTTGGATTTTAGAAATGTTAATACTGTTCATAGCAATTTAGGTCCTTGAGATTTATGACTGGTCTGTGGCCCCTACTTTTTTGGGGACAGTGAATAAAGGGCTTATGAACTGATTTTTTATTTGAGCCTTGGTGTCGTGGACCTTATAAATTGCATGTTTTTTGTACAAAGCTTGCACTTTCTCGTTGATCACTATCCTTTGTGCTGGAGTGATTTACATTTTTGAAATAGAATTTTGTTGGGGGTGTGACAAATTCTATTTTGTAACCTTGTATGGTTTCTAAAACCCACGGATCGTTTGTCATTTTTTCCCAATTTTGGTAAAAATGAAGCAAGTTGAGTATTGTTGTTTTCTGAAAACATACCTGTTGCTAATGGAAGATCGATTTGCTGTTTTGCTGGGGTAGTTGGTTGAACGTTGCACCTGATTTTTGTTTCGAGGCGCGAGGGTTGCGACTTGTATCATCAGGTATCGTACCATTAATGCCGTTGCTTTGAACGACCGAACTTAAGAATTTTCAGCAAACTGGTCCTTGCCAGTATTATCCCCATGTTTCCTAAGACAATGCGGTACGTGTATTTCTTACCCAATTTACTAAGTGCTTGTGTTCGACGTTTGCTAAAAAGGTTACTACTCGGAGAGATTTTGCTAAGTAATTTAAAATAATGGCAATATTTACTTCAGAATTTTCATCTCTGGCCTGAATTAAGGTTTCATAGGCCATTGCTACTGGACCAACAACGTCTAGAATATAGCCCTGGGTTTTCCGTAACGATTTATCTATAGCTCGGTCACCTGTTCGTCAGCATGATTCTCGAAAACCGTGGGCTCCTTTAACGAGCTTTTAACACTCTGTAATTTTGTAAGTAGAGATTCCGTCAGTGCAGTGATAAACTCAGAGCTTTGCCGCACTGAAGAGATCGATTACCTGAGATGTCGCTTGAGTTAGAGCCTTTTTCTTCGGCCGCTGTGTCAGCCATACTTCTTTCCTCGTGAGCGAAGCACAAAAATGTTGTATGCGGGGTGGACGTGGTATTTTGGCAGGGAACAGTGGGACGCAGTCTCTTATTCTTGCTATTGTTGTATTTATTTTTAATCGCTGTATTTTGAGTGAAGTAATAAAGATAAAACTCACTCACACTCAACTCATCGAGTGGCGGATCTTAATCTTCTCATAGCGTTTACACAGAAGTATTTCCACTCGAATAAAAGCTTGATTTTCAGTGTTTTACCTTGAATGTTTCCAATGATTAAGAAAAAACGTTCTCATTGATCAGTAATAACAAAATTTCAATGGCACACTCAATGTGTGTGAGTGTGAGTGAGCTTTTAGAATACAGGCGATATATGAGGCGACACTTTATGAAGTACAATTACACTTAAACGTACAAACATGCTTGCCCATCCTAACGACAAAGTATATACAAAATTATTGGCCTATAAATATTATGTTATACAAACCTTATAAACTTTGTGCATAATTGGTGAACAAATAATGTCCCGTAACATTTTTAAAAACTATATTCTCATGAGCAATTGCGTTGATGAAAAATATTAGATTAATTTCTGCCAGATCTCCAGTATAGTTTTCCAATCGTTGCAATATTTTGCGTTAGTATATTAAAAGAATTGTTATAAAGTAAAACAAACTTCTTTCGAGAATATATAGGACAGTTTTGTTTGCGTGGCATTAACATAATTTATAAAATGTTTCGTGCGAACAAAGCGTTGCTAAGAGCGAATTTCCTTATATGGTGTGGACATCTGTGCAGTGTGTAAACACAAAAGTTTCGTATTTGCCAAATTCACATCTCTCAAAGGAAAATGTCATTACAAATTACAACGTCAGTAGAATTTTATACCAATTTGAACTCAACTTTAAACTATTTTTCGCGTGGAATGTCGTTTGTTATTGATAAAGTAGTACTGCCTTGTCTTAGTTGATTCGCTGTCCATATACTCTGATATAACTACCAGCTACGATGTATTTTGCCAAACGACTTTGTAATACATCATCAGAATTCAAAAGTGAATTACATCCAACAAAATGGGAATGTTAAACTTCAAAGTCGATTTGAAACCCAAATATAGGTTAAAACGAGACAAAGATGAGTTTGTAATATGTTGATTTCATTACAAAATCATCATCAGACTGACTAAAGTTAAAATTAGTTAGTCTTTATTTAAGGCGGTGTTAGCTACACTATACAACTTTCCTTGCAACTTGCAATGCAATTATAATTTTGAGGAATGTTAATTTATAAAAGGTGTTCGAAATCCTAAGAAAACGTTAGCAGACCGTAAAAAATGTTCGTACTTGTCAACTTTAAATGGTGTGGTGGAAACGCGGACTGCGGGCTGCGGACTCTAGATTGTTCACTGCATGAAAAGCCGAGTTTTCACAGGTGAATACGTGCGAATATGAGTTCGAATATGGTTAGTATTCACGCGTATTCACCGATATTCACTGTGAATATCCTCGGAATATTAGGGGTATTCCGACGTGAATACCTGTGAATAAAACACACCCCATATTGTCACCTAGAATATGTTCGAATATTGTGTGAATATTTTTGAGGTAGGATATTCACACTTGGTCATATTATTAAGTGCTGTTGAATAAATATAGAATAAGCGAGACATTATTTACTATAAAAATTTGCCGCTAATTTGTCTATAGTGCCAAATATACATATATAGCCTTGTTGCAGCAAATTTTGATCGGATTTTTTCTCTTTGCAATGCCTTGGCTTTGCCATTCACTGTTAAACAGCTCGAATATACCCTTGTATTGAATGTATAAATTTTAACTCCTGTACGCTCCTATGTTATAAGATTTACATTCAAGTCCTACATGTGTATAAAAATAGAGCATAAAGCCCAGTGTGACTAGGCTCAGTGACAAGGCACTTTTAAAGAAGTGTCTTGATGGAAAGACACAAAATCAGAATGAGAGCTTTAATGGGATGATTTGGCAGCGAGTTCCCAAGACGGCCTATGTTGGAAGTGATGCATTTCAGCTCTGGGTATATGATGCTGTGGCACATTTCAACATTGGAGACAAGGCTACTATTCAAGTGTTGGAAGCTCTTGGAATGAAACCAGGATCCTTTTGTGTTTCTGGGGTGAATGAAGCAGATCGACGCCGTGTTACGAAAGCTGACTACAAGACAATGGACAAAAACAAAAAGCGAAGGAAGATGTTGAGAGGGAAAAGAAAACAGCAAGTGGACAAGAATGAACAAAGAGGAGGAAAAACTTATGAACCAGAAGCATTTTAATCATGTTAGAAATAATAAAGGCCTTATCAATGACAGTTGTTTCCAAACTTTAAGCTCAAATTTCACAAAATGACATTTCACCGACTTTGGGGAAGACTAGCTTATTCAACATTTGTGCTAATTACATAAAATTTTCAGTATTTTATTTTATTTATAAACCTAAACCTCAAAAATTTCATGAAAGTTAAATATATAATTAAATATTTATAATTTAATTAATTTTGCAGACCCAAATCCTGGTCTCGTTATAAACAAATTACGATTTTTTCACTGTAATAAGCAAATTTAATAATTTTTGAAATTTAGGTTACTGCTGGACCTATTAGGTCATCATTCATAGTTACGTAATTTCATATTTTGCACAGATGTAGAGGAGTAGGTGGTTGCTGAGCAAAATTTTGCGAATGAAACTCCCTGGCGATATTTTACCGAGAAAGCTTGATTCTGCCAAATATAGCTTGATGTCTGGACCAAGTTTGTGGGGCAGGTGCGACTCTCCCCCCTCTCCGCTTAGAAACGCCCTTGAGTGCAGCATAAGGGCATTGCATGCTTTATTTTAGATGGATCACTAGCAGTAGTGCGCTTGTTTTATACATTTTCCCTGAAAGCGTCGTTTTGTATGAAAAATTGCCTCCCAAAAGCCAAGGCGTTTCTCAAAATTTCCCCTCGGCGCAAACCATAGTGACCTCTCGTAAGCATGGCCGCATCCAAATCCTCAACATCTGCCTGCGTTCTTGGTGCATGCTAACACACAAAGTCTGCCCGTTGGGAAGCATCTGAATATATGGATTATAGAAATAATTCTGATAATATTTTAAGATTTTATTATAAAATGATACCAGGTCGATGTCGATATAACGCGTTTAACATGATAAAACAATCGAACCAACAACATGTTACAATAAACAACCCACGACCATGAGCATGGCCGAGCTCGAAAACCAAAATGAAGCTGTAGGAATTGTGTAAATAGGCTCAGTCTGTCAACACATTTCATTTCACTGCTTAAATCATTGTAGTAACGTGCCCGAAACAAGAAGAAACGGAGCCAAGAATTGTATAACAAATGTTAATAAAATTATACTAAAAAGACTAAATTACAATTACAAAATGACGCCGCCTCTTTTTATACCTACCCCAGCATGCATCAGGATAGTCAAAGCACAGGTATGTCGCGGTACACTATAGTCATAACACTGTCTGAGTTATACATTAAAAGTGTGACAGAAATGTTATAGGATGGCAGAATTGTGTGGTTTATACGACCAATGTAGTTTCACAGCCGTGGTTGTTCCCCACCAGTTCGTGATAGTTTTCTTATCTTGAAGATCATTGATATCTGATCTACGATGAAGTTTACCATCTTTGACTTGAAACAATGGTGTGTTGTTTTTCTCACTCTCGTCCACAAATGGTAAGAGATCAGTGACTGCACTTGGATCTTTTTTCTCATCAGGGTTTTTGTACGCTTTGACTACTTGGTCAACGGATGCTTGTGCTGCTTCAACAGCAATTTTGAAATTTTTCTTAAGAAAACATAAACAATATTTTTTGGATGATTTTGCCATTGTAAATAATAATAATAATGTATAACCCCTAAATAGGGCTGGCAAATGACCTTAAAATTTGCAGAACTTTTGGCAATAATTCGGTAATAATGTTTGGTAAATATTAATTTAAGACGTAATCTTAACCCTAATCTCAAAGATTAAAATTGGCTAACCCACTATGCCGACTTTCTTTCTGCTCTTCCCCGTGTCTTCATTATCAATCCACATTGCAATTTCGGGAAATGGACTGAAAATCCATGCTGAATGGGGAAATTTGCTTTTTGACACGTGGGATTGGAAGCACTTTAACATTTACAAATCAGTGATTTACATCCCAAATGGTGCTATTTGTTAAATAAATTTGCAGTTAATGAAGAATGTTCAAATTCTTTGTGATCAAAAGCAAAAGCAAATGAAAAGGATTGCAAAATGTGATGGGAAGTTCTAAAGTGCAATTAAACTAATAAAGCTGACTGTTGGTTCCTGCCCTGTTCATGGCCTCAGGAGTGTACTATGGAGTATGGACTATGGACGACTAAACTCAGTCATTTGGAAAAGAAACAGGTAAAATATTTGTTAGTTATAAAGTGCATACATAATTTTGGTGTATCATTTTGCTACTGTAATGAAGTAAAATGCAAAAACAAACATGTGTAGTTCTGGTGTATTTCTGGTGTGGTACATATGTCTTGGGACTCCTCTCATTTAAGACTAACTTCACAAGACACCTCTCTAATGTGCACTCGGCGGAGCTAGGTGTCCCGGGGTGATGGCAACATCTAGAATTGGCTAACGCTGATCATGTATTAACAAAACTACATTGTCAATTGTTAATTTTAGTAAACGTTGAATTAATTTTTTTGAACTTAATGAAAATTGCACATGGTTTCGCTACAGAATTAAGCTATAATAGCGCAATCAATGTAGTAAGTTGTCATTAGAAATATACAATCAAAGGAAGAGTATACAGTGGTTTGACAAAAAGGATTATTATTGAGGTTGTGTATTTATACTGTATATTTTATCATGTTAAAAGCAATAGGTTTCAAAACAATTAGCAAAGCACATAATGAGTTTACCTCATCCTTTGTGTTTTTGAGCATTCCATCCCCATAAGCAATCCATTTATCTCCACGTACGTTGGTAACACGAAGACCAAACTTGTTGTCTTCATCATGCATGTATTTGGACAGAAGATCTCCTGTTAAACTTGGTGTAACATTCATTGGTAAAGCCACTCTTGGTGTTCTGAATGTCGAGTGAAATCTCAGTTCATAAGGCAGCTATTGGTATACATCATTGCTTGTTATAATTATGTTAATTCTTGCTGTTCCTTTCATTGCATGTTCTAACTGCAGTTATCCTTGTTCTAACTGTATAAATATGCTTGTTTGTAACTGTGGTTATATCCTTGTTTTAACTGTAGTTATTTATCCTTGTTCTAACTGTTGTTATCCTTTTTTTAACTGTAGTTATCCTTACTGGTCTAACTGTAGTCATCCCTATTGTTCTAACTCTAGTTACTCTTGTTCCAACTGTAGTTATCCTTGTCTAACTGTAGTTATCCCTACTGTTCTAATTAACTCTAGTTATCATTATTCTAACTGTAGTTATCCTTACTGATCTAACAGTAGATATCCTTTTTCTAACTGTAGTTATATTTGTTCTAACTGTAGTTATTCTTACTGTTCTAACTGTAGATATCCTTGTCTAACTGTAGTTATCATTGTCTAACTGTAGTTATCCTTGTCTAACTGTAGTTATCATTGTTCTATCTGTAGTTATTTTTACTGTTGTAACTGTAGATATCCTTGTCTAACTGTAGTTATCATTATTCTAACTGTAGTTATCCTTGTTTCAACTGTAGTTATCATTGTTCTAACTGTAGTTATCTTTGTTCTAACTGTAGTTATTGTTCTAACTGTAGTTATCTTTGTTCTAACTGTAGTTATTCTTACTGTTCTAACTGTAGATATCCTTGTCTAACCGTATTTATTATTGTTCTAGCTGTAGTTATCATTGTTCTAACTGTAGTTATTTTTATTCTAACTGTAGTTATTCTTACTGTTCTAATTGTAGATATCCTTGTCTAACTGTAGTTGTCATTGTTCTAACTGCAGTTATCCTTGTCTAACTTTAGTTATCATTGTTCTATCTGTAGTTATTTTTACTGTTGTAACTGTAGATATCCTTGTCTAACTGTAGTTATCATTGTTCTAACTGTAGTTATCCTTGTTCTAACTGTAGTTATCCTTGTCTAACTGTAGTTATTATTGTTCTAACCGTAGTTATCTTTGTTCTAACTGTAGTTATCCTTGTTCTAACTGTAGTTATCATTGTTCTAACTGTAGTTATCATTGTTCTAACTGTAGTAATCCTTGTTCTAACTGTAGTTATCATTGTTCTAACTGTAGTTATCATTGTTCTAACTGTAGTTATCATTGTTTTAACTGTAGTTATCATTGTTCTAACTGTAGTTATCATTGTTCTAACTGTAGTAATCCTTGTTCTAACTGTAGTTATCATTGTTCTAACTGTAGTTATCATTGTTCTAACTGTAGTTATCATTGTTCTAACTGTAGTTATCATTGTTCTAACTGTAGTTATCATTGTTCTAACTGTAGTTATCATTGTTCTAACTGTAGTAATCCTTGTTCTAACTGTAGTTATCATTGTTCTAACTGTAGTTATCATTGTTCTAACTGTAGTTATCATTGTTCTAACTGTAGTTATCATTGTTCTAACTGTAGTTATCATTGTTCTAACTGTAGTTATCATTGTTCTAACTGTAGTTATCATTGTTCTAACTGTAGTTATCCTTGTTCTAACTGTAGTAATCCGTTTTCTAACTGCAGTAATCCCTGCTGTTCTAACTGTAGTTATCCTTGTTCTAACTGTAGTTATCCTTGTTTTAACTGTAGTAATCCCTGCTGTTCTAACTGTAGTTATCATTTTTCTAACTGTAGTAATACCTGCTGTTCTAACTGTAGTTATCTTTGTTCTAACGGTAGTTATCGTTGTTCTAACTTTAGTTATCCTTGTTCTAACTGTAGTTATTCTTGTCTAACTGTAGTTATCTTTGTTCTAACTGTAATTATCCTTGTTCTAACTGTAGTTATCATTGTTCTATCTGTAGTTATTTTCACTGTTGTAACTGTAGATATCCTTGTCTAACTGTAGTTATCCTTGTTCTAACTGTAGTTATCTTTGTTCTGACTGTATTTATCCTCATTGTTCTAATTGTAGTTACCATTGTTCTAACTCTAGTTATCATTGTTCTAACTCTAGTTATCATTGTTCTAACTCTAGTTATCATTGTTCTAACTGTAGTAATCCTTGTTCGTTGTTACCACTGTTGTAATGTTATTTGTCTTTATTCATGATCACTGGATACTTTGAATTTGTTTAATCCTAGTCAGCAAAAGTTTCGGTTGTTTAAATTAACGTTTTTTGTTACCTGATATGTCCACTTGCAAATGAGTCGGTAAAGAAGTGAAGGGCAAATGCTTCAATTGAGTACGCCATATCAAGCAACTTTTCTCGATCTTTTTCACTGCTTTTTTCTAAAGAAAATGTAGTGAATTTTCTGACGTCCAATGTGAACGAGACTAAATTAATGCTGATGAGTAAAGTACCTACCTGCTTCTCTTGCTTTCTGAATAGAGTATACGTGTCCAGCAAGATAGGCCATCTGAGCATGGGGTTCAAAGTGATCAAAGTTTTTTTCTCCAAGTAAAAGCATTCTCCCAGGAACCACAGGTATTCCACCCACCCATATTCCGCCTGTTGCCTCGTCCCATTCTTTGTCAGTGTGATGACATCCTGCAGTTTTGCAAAGCATCTCGTCTTTGATCATTTTTAATAGTTTGTCCAGTTGCTCCTTGATGTATGAATGTTAGAATATAAATTATCAGTTATCATTTATCTTTGTTTTACAAATAAAATATGAAAACAAGGAGTTTGAACTCGTTTGTAGCTACTGCATTATATATGCAAAGACTTATAAATACATGTTAGCCTTCTCACGATGACGAATCTTTAAGCGAATTTAAACAAACATAACAGTATAAAATGCAATTTTTACGAATTGATGTACAATCTATGAATAAAAGCAGTCGCTGGTATTGAGAAATCCTACGATATTGATGTACTCTAACCTCAAAATGGCCGCATATTCGCCTTTGTTAGAATGGCTAATTCGTTAGGATCATATATCATAACTGCTACATGATATAAACCTCCCTATAGACTTGGGGAAATTAATTTCTGTTTGTTCTTTCCTTTTCCTAGTCAACGGTATTGAGTGAAATATTAATATCTATAACCTTATATTTTCCTTTGTATGGGGTTTCTGCCAACGTGGAGTACGCATTCTTGAATCTTTTTGTCACACCTGGATCAGGCTGACCAGGATTTTCCAAAGGATTTGCAATGGGAGCATCTGGTATGCCATAATAATCCCCAGCAAGTGCAATGATATCTGCAAATTTCAGAGATACTCCATTTGGAAGAGTAATTATTTTCTTCCCTGTGTAAAATTGTGAAAAAAATTAAATTTACTGAAAGTTCTTGCTCAAAACGGTGGGCAGCACACTTCTCTAAACATTTTTTCATCCTCCTAACACATTTCAAGCAGTTTTTTTTGACCCAGTCGTCTTCTCGAACAACACTCCAGCTCTCCGAAATCTCTAGGGTTTTCTGTCTTTATTAATAGAGAAGTTTAGTTAGACGTTCACAGCAAACCGCAAACCGCGGTGTCGCGTTAGCGGTTTGACGTTGCCATAAATGGCCGTTGTTGCAAATTTGACATTTAGTTAGTAGTCATTCACCTATACCTATGAAAACGATTCAAAATTGGCATCCAGTAAACAGTTTCGCTGTGAAATCGCTTCTAGCTATTTATAATGCTTTAATTTTTTAGAAAACCAATGTCGCGTTTACACTCGGGCTGAGAGGGCCCTCCATTTTAATAAGCGACTATCGAACTACATAACAGGCTTGAAAATTACCACAAATAAAATTTGGGTATTCAATATGTCTACTAGGAGTGTTTATACGTGAAACGACACACTATTGCAATGACAATACGCTCTGGTATTGGGGCTACGTGAAAATACACCTCCAGCGGTTGAAAACGCGAACCGCAAACGTCAAACGGCAAAATTTCAACGTCAAGAAAAAACGTCAAACTAAAACTCTCTAATACCACACTGTTGCCTTCAGAGAAGATTGCTCAATCAACTACAATATGCGGTTCCTTAAACACTCTTTACCAACACGATAAAATTCGTGAATGCGATATTATTGCAGACGAAGTATTTTTGTATTACGTCTGAGATATAAAGCTTAATAAATTGTAGTACGGTTCGTGTATAGAAGAAAAAGGCTATTATTTCATTTCAAATTTATGTTTTATAATCTTACCAATATCTAGTTGATATCCTATCGTTTCATGTTCACCAGTATTAAAGAAGGAAACGGGAGTAGGAATATTGTTTGCCATTTCTCCCTATATGCCAAATATGTAATAATTATGATTTATATAATACGCGATTCTTCACTCATTTTATATTGCTTAATTATAGGAGTCATTCGGCGTCAACTACTGTCAGTACTGGTGAAAATCAAGTCGGGGAAAGGCTGTACAATGAAGAAACGTTTCCATTAGTGCTTACTATAAGTTATGAGTGTCCAGGGTGGTCGACAGGGCATAGGGATGACCACAGTGGATGATGACTACAGTGGATGATGACCACAGTGGATGATGACCACAGTGGATGATGACCACAGTGGATGATGACCACAGTGGATGATGACCACAGTGGATGATGACCACAGTGGATGATGACTACAGTGGATGATGACCACAGTGGATGATGACCACAGTGGATGATGACCACAGTGGATGATGACCACAGTGGATGATGACCACAGTGGATGATGACTACAGTGGATGATGACCACAGTGGATGATGACCACAGTGGATGATGACCACAGTGGATGATGACCACAGTGGATGATGACTACAGTGGATGATGACCACAGTGGTGCTCGTGGTGGCACCCGTGGTCTGGGTGATGGTGACGACGAACTTCCGCCAACGAAGGCAAGGCAAAAAGAGACCACCTGATCCGGATTGTAGCGTCCCGCGTCGACATAAACTGGCGCTGGTTTTTCGCTTAGCAAGACACTGGTGACAAGCCCTGATGCTGGAGAATTGACGGCATTATCGAACCACGCTTGCACGGCTCGTTTCTCCGTAAAGAAGATCTTTTAGAGACTGGTGCAGCAATGCACAAAGTGTCACAAAGCTGCAGGGTCAAGCCGAACAAGAGGCTCATGCTACTCGTGTTCGACGTTCGTAACTACTCGACGTCTAACTACTAGTCCCAGAGAGCGCATGTCCGCCGGCTGGGGTTACCTAAGCCCGACGCACGTAACACCGGGACATAAACGAAGCTTTCGCACGTGCACGCGAAAATATGGTGAGCGTCTGGCATTAAAGAGACCCAAAAGTCTCTTTTCGGGAATTCCAGCTTATATCTATCTAATAAATACTTTATACTTTTCCGAGTTCCTTTGAAAATTTTTAGATCGTGAGTCACTACACTATTTTCGATGAAGTGTAAATGAAATTATTAAAATCACAGCTGCCAGAAAATATAATAAAAAAGCTGATTTCATATTTCAAACAAGCTTTTCTTGCCCGATACGATTATATCAGTTAATTCTTCTCGTTTTCTATCTGCAAAATACAGCAATAACGTTTACCAGGTGGACCTGAATAAGTAAATATTTGTTCAAATATTGTAGATAATTGCTTGCAAGAATGAGGTAAACACGTATCAATTAATTTAGGAAGAAATAACATCATCGCAAAAATGTGAATTTGTTTTATTTCCTGCAATTATGTCATTTTGTAATTACTAGTTATCATTGGCGTCAATCGAACGGTAACTGAGGGGGGCCATATTCATATATTCTGCTTACGTTCGATTGACGCCAATGCTATACATAGTTATTATTTTGTGGTTTTGGCGCCATATATTTACCATGCATTTTTGCATTGCATTTCACCTCATATATAGGAGCATCAGACATTCTCGTTTGGCAATTGATTAATAATGCGGAAATTGAAATATAATATTACCCTTATTTATGATTTTATCTTCAGAAATGCATGAATATTAGGGCTGTTTCGCACTGTTGCGTTTTTGTACGTATATATACGAACGAAAAATTATTTAAATGATACTTATGAAAACGATTGAATAGATGCATGGGGTTGGATTCTTTTGATGATTTCATGTGTTTCTTCTGGCATAAAAAGGTTTTAAGCTTTTACGCGCGTGCAAAAAACGCGACAGTGGAAAGCAGCCCTTAAGGCAATGACGTGGTGGAAATGCAAATCACAACATTTAGATAAGTCCCATGACAACTGCAGCTTATATGTTTTGCCGAAAAAATAAGAATGTAGTCAATGTGCTATAACAATAAATATTCCAACATCTCTGTTAGATATTCCACCCAACACATGAATAGCATCTTTATGCCAAAGAGAGGAATAAATATACAAGAAATTCATGGCTTTCATTCCCACCGTGGTCAAGTCACATTTTTAGCTTGCTCGTAACTTCAGGTAGCACCATCACAATTAAGAATAAACAGTTGATACAATAATTTTATACTCACTGTTTAAAATACTCACTGTTTATAGGAAATGCAGGAAATCTATCAACAGAAGTGTTCGAGTTATATACCCTATATTGTTCCCGGGTATGGTGCCTAAGTATGTACAAAATGTAACGAAACTCACAGTTTGTGTAATAATTTACAGCCTCCTTTGAAAAGTGTTCTAAGATCTTAAAAAAGTTGATTAAAGATCCAAACATAGAATGATCATTGTAAACAAAGTAGCACTTTAAACACTTTATTTGCAAATGAGTTCTTTGCTGTGTATTTATGTGTAATTTTAATTAGCCTACTTACGAATACTTTGATGTAAGAACTCTTATGTGAACATCCGTAATTAATTCACTCCTTCACATATCTTATGTATGTGCTCCTAAAATGACGGTATAGTTCCGCTAGCTGACACGACAACCTGCAGTTTGCTTGTTTTTAAGATAAATGATATATATTGGCTTAATATTTTAAAGTATGTCAACATAACAGGTATAATGCTGCTACAATGTTTCGTAAATACAAAACGATTGACTTATGTCAATATGACTCGATAGCATTCAAAATATTCATTAACACTCACATTCATTCATTTCATTGTGTGTGTTAGTGTGACATAGAAATTGTGTCAGTTATTGCTGATCAATGAGACCATGTGCAATTTTAATTAGCCTAGAATACTTTGATGTATAAAAGCTCTTATGGGAACATAATTAATTCACTCTTCACATCTATCAAAAGATCTAGACGAAAAGTGGGAATTGGAAAAGATCAGTGCGAAAAGTCTGCCATGCACCTAGTCTACCGCCTTATATATTGTCTGCGCGAAAAATATTCGTTAAAATATTCATCATTCGTAGCGATGTAAACGCGAGGTTGGCCAGAATAATATATTCATCGATCAACAATGCACGGAGACACTAACAAACACAGCAATATAACAACGTGTCAATGCGTTAAAAAAATTTGTCGTTCATCGGCGAACATGCAACGAAGCAACTAAAGACCCATTTACACTACACACATTTTTCATGTCAAACTCACTCCGGACAAAAGGTCTATCGCATCACACGGGCGCTCACTTCCAAACTTACGGGTGAAATTTAACCCTATTTCGCAGTTTATAATTTCATCCGGTACCAATTTTATCTTTTTACACTATGTTCAATTTCAGTTTTGTTGCGGATGAAATTGGACTGAATGCCTAAATTACATTCTTATACCAGTTTCATCCATCAGCAAACTTAAAATTACACGTAAATGGTCCTTTATAATCGAATTTTATATCGCACGTATTCTGTCACAGTTAAGAAAAGCATGCACCAAATGAAATAAGATAATAATACAGCTTTAACTTCTCAGGTCACGCAAGTACCTCCCGTCACAGCACAATATATTATATTAGCCAAATTACAAAGTTTCAAACCAATAATAGGCAATATTGCAGACGTTCAAAAGAGAAAACACATGAAATATAAACATTAAACTAGGAGTAGGTTGAGTATGCAGCCTTTGTCAATCAATTCATAATAATATATATGTTGAGTGAAACAGCCTTCGTACCTCTTCCTTCCGAAACAGCCCTCCTGCTTTTAGTCCGGCACTTTCATAGCTTATTCATCAGCTAGGCTGATGTCTACAAGTCCAGCATAACGCAATCTCGTTCCCTGCACTTCCCTCATTTAGGGAATTCGTGTGCAAATTAACGAGTTAACTAGACAATTAACTAATGAACTAACTAGCTTACTAGCTAACTTACTTTACTTTAATACTTTACTTTAGTTTTCGCTCGTGCTTTTAAAATTGCTCTTGAATGTGGAC